ATATATATATATATATTATATATATATATATAATATATATTATATATAATATATATATATATATATATATATATATGTCGTGCCGAATATGCAAAACTGGTCAATTAGCAAGAACTCATTTAAAATTAAGTCCTTTCTAAAATTTTCTCTTATACGTTCAAAGATATATTTTTTTTATTAATGTTAATGTAAAAATTTTTAATTTTGCTCCAAAAGAATCTTAGAAAACTTACCTAACCTTATTATAACAAGAACAATTTATTTTAGCCTAACCCAACTAAATATATTTTATATTTGTTTACAATAATTTAATACTAAACAAACTCAGTGAAATATATTTTTTTCGTTAGGTTCAGAATGATTTTGGCGAAATTATTGCATACACAAATTTTCACTTGTCCTATATGGCAAGATGAGCGTTGCTATTTAAGCCAAGATCGCAAGTTCTGCCTATTCGGCACGACATTATATACATATATATATATATATATATATAATGTCATTGGATGGTGAACAGAAGAACACCTCGGTTAACAGTGTGAGCATGGTGATTAGTGTGCCAAATGGCGAGGTTTTTTTCTAAATGGAACAATAAGTGTATAACAATTAGCAAAAGTTAGTCAGTGATGTGCATCTTGAGCGAACACACAGGGACACTTCCTCCGCCCCCCATCCCTGATCCCTTCCCTTCATCCCAGCCTAGGCCCACTGACTTCCTGACCAAGGGTGTTGCCGTTTAGTGTCCCCACCAATTACAAGTTCTGCCGCTCGCTACTCCCCCACCCTCATCCCCCATGCATCCCTGCTGTCCTTCACCCATCACCCCCACAGCTGGCGCCCTCCCACCCCCACGATATCAAGTAGTAGCGGGTTCACAGGAATCTTCACGACAGAGCCAAAGCCGTCGTTCACGAGGCATTTGCCGGGTGTGTTACAGGGAATGTGCACTCAGTCCCTCAACTGGCAACATCCGTGCACACAATTGATGTCTAGGCTCCAGGAGAGCTCCAAATGAGAACAACCAACAGCCCCTCCCAGCAGACAGCGATGACAGCTACTGTGACTTCACCTCTACAGAGGACCTCAAATCTGCAATCAAATTAACATCTACCAGGACTCTGACACACATCCCCAAAGCAACTCGCCCTCAAGCTGCTAGCAAATTCACTGACCTTCTGAAGACAGTCAACGATGCTCCTTCAAACAACAGATCCTGGCACAACTTGCTGCTTTTTGGCAATGCCTGTTTGGCTGTCCCACCAAGGAGGGACAAGTCACTAGCAACACATGTTATTAGGGCAATAAATGCATTCCCAAGGGATGACAACCTCGTGCGTCTCCCTCCTAGGGCGACAAACACCCGCCGGGCAAATGCCAACAACAGGACACCCGACACCTCAAAAATCAGACCCCAAATTAGCAAAAAAATAAAAGAGGGTAATACTATTGGAGCTCTGCAGAGGCGTCGTAAGGCGGGGGCGGGAGCCGCCCTGGGTGACACCATTTAGGGGGTGACACCATAGAGCCTCTAAAGAAGGTGACACTAATGAACAAAACCATGCTGCAGGAACCTAAGAGAAAAATTCTTCGTTTCTATATAGTCTATTATAGGATTACACAGTACAAATAGGCCTATATAGGGAAAATCATTGATTTTGATATGATAGATGATTTTGCAGGATTGAAGGCAGGGAAATGAAATGTCAGATTCTTTGAGATGTTACCTGTACTCAGGGTTAAATCGGAACTAGTGTTTTTCTTTACTTTTAAAGCTTTTTCTTCATTGTTGAAGATGAAAAAATGTAGGATCTGTTGCCTATACTCAAAGTGGTATTTGAGTTTATGTTTCCTCAATATTACTACGATTATTTATTTTATCATTAATAAAGTGAAGATACCATCGCTCCCAAGGATGCCAGCACGGCGCAAGCTCTGAAGGACAAACATCCACCCAGGGCTCTCAGTACCAACATTGACCTCCCTGACATTGCAGCAGGTGAAGAACATCTAACCTTACAGGATGCTGATGTGTATAAAGCTGCTATGTCATTTCCACAGGGCTCAGCAGGAGGTTTCACCGGTTTAAGGCCTCAACACTTAAAACAAATACTCAGTCCAGCACTTGGTGATGTTTCAGAGAGGCTGCTGTCTGAACTCACCAAATTTTCCAACCTGTGCCTGGCTGGCAGTGTCCCAGAGGCCATCAGACCCCTTTTCTTTGGTGCCTCATTGTGTGCCCTCCGGAAAAAGGATGGAGGAATCAGGCCCATTGCAGTGGGCAACACCCTTCAGCACCTAGTTGGCAAGCTGCAGTAAGAAGGGTGAATCAAGAGGCTGCTGCAATGCTGAAATCAACTCAGCTCGGTTTCGGTGTTCAACAGGGCTGTGAAGCAGCTGCCCATGCAGCACGAGTATATATCAAAAACATGTCCGATGAAAAAGCCTTGGTCAAATTGGACTTTGCCAACGCTTTCAACTCAGTCAGAAGGGATGCTGCTCTCCAAGCAGTTTATAGAAACTTTCCTTCCCTTTATCCCTTCATCGAATCATGTTATAGTATGACTTCCAAACTATTGTTTGGGCAAACTCATGTGAGGGCATGCAACAGGGGCATCCTCTCGCCCCCTTTCTATTCTGTTTGGTCATCAAGGAAGTCACAGAAGCACTCTCCAGCGAGCTCAATATCTGGTTCCTGGATGATGGCACCCTAGCTGGCACAACAGAATCCTACAGGACATCAGTAAAATTAAAGACAAGGGAGAACGCCTGGGCCTTTCTTTAAACCCCACCAAATGTGAAATAGTTTCTATCAATCGACAGATGATACAGAATATTAGCGCCGTTTCACCAGGAGCACGAGTCATTGATCCAGCCAATAGCACTCTCCTTGGTGCTCCTCTTGGGGCCAATGCCATCGATCTGATCCTAGAAAAAAAAAGTCTCAGCCCTCTGGACGATGGAAAGCAGGATGAAAGACATTGGCACACACGATGCCTTCTACCTACTCACCAGGTGCCTGTCAATCCCAAAGCTCACCTACTTTCTGAGATGCTCCCCAGCCTTCAGTAGTCCAAAACTCAAGAAATATGACTCTCTCCTTAAGACCATGCTAGAGAGTGTATTGAATCTTTCCCTTGAAGATGGACAGTGGGTGCAAGCCTCACTTCCGGTCAGGCTTGGGGGGGCTAGGAGTACGCAGATCCTCCCAGATTGCTCTACCAGCTTTCCTATCCTCTTCCATAGCATCAAACGAGTTGGTAAGACAAATTCTTCCTGATAACCTCAGTGACTCAGCAGGGATACAGGACCCTAGCTATGCCAGTGCCATCACTGAATGGAAGACTCTTGCTGATCCAGCACCAAACCCTAGTGCAGCACTGGCTCACAAACAGTCAAGCTGGGATGGCCCGATCGCTGAAAAGGTGCTTGCCAACATCCTCAGGGCTGCAACATCAGATGGGGAGATTGCCCATCTCCAGGCTGTGAGTGCACATCACTCCGGGGACTTCCTCCAAACAGTTACCATATCGGCAATGGGAATGCGAATTGACCCTAAGACCCTCCGTATTGCAGTGGCTCTGCACCTTGCTACCCCAATTCACACAGAATATACATGTATTTGTGGCAAAGCACAAACAGACCAATATGGTCTACATGGTCTTAACTGTTCCAAAACCAAGGGCTGGCATGCAAGACACAATGAGGTCAACGACATCATTAAGAGAACCCTTGCTACAGCTGGATGCCCAGCTGAGAGGGAGCCCCGATTACTAGCAGCCAACAATACCCACAACCCAGCAAACCTCCCCAACGGGATCACCATGTATCCTTGGAAGAATGCAAGCTCTTACCATGGGACTATACCTGTGTGTCCACACTGGCTGACGCCTATATCCATCACAGTGTGGGGCAACAGGGAGGAGCTGCTGACCACAGGGAGGAGTACAAGGTCAGCAAGTACAGGGACATAAGCCAACAGTATCAATTTGTCCCAGTGGGATCAGAGACCTTGGGATCATGGGGAAAAAATGCCATATGTTTCCTTAAAGAATTGGGTTCCCGACTCATCGACACCACCAGGGACCCAAGGGCACCCACTTTCATGTTCCAGTGCCTCAGCATGGCCATCCAAAGGGGAAATGCTTGCTGCATACTTGGCTCGCGTCCGGCTTTGGAGAAGCTGGAGGAAATTCATGATCGTTAATACATTGTACCATTGTATTCATGTTTGTGTTTTTCTGTTTATTAATAAATGTTCACATAGAATATAAAATATAGGGGGTGGTAGGAGAAGGAAATAATTAAACAGCTCCGGGGAGAACCTTGAGTTTTCCCTGAGGTACGTTTATTGTCTTCTCTGAGGATGAGGGTCCCCATTCCAGCTATAGAGGTGGTACTTCCTATATATATATATATATATATATATATATAAAATATTATATATATATATATATATATTTTATATATATAATACATGCAGAGCCAGCCACATGGGGAAGGAAATCTTTAGCTCAAAATGTTTCACACTCTCGTGCATCGTCAGGAGTTATGCAATGTTGTAAGACTAGCAACTGATGGAAGAGGAAATTCTCTGTGAGACATGGTAGAAGTGTATAAGCTCCATTGTGATGGGCCTGTGCTTATACACTTCTGCCTTGTGTCAGAGAGAATTTCCCCTCCTATCTGTTGCTAGTCTTGCTTCACTGCATAGCTCCTGACGACGTACGATAATGTGAAAGATCTTCAGATAAAGATTTCCTTCTCCTTGTGGCTTTTTCTGGATTAAGATTATTAAGACTGGATTATACACACTGACTCCAGGCTGAGGGACTGATTACTTCAAACTCATCATACAGCATTTTTCTGAATTGGACAGAAAAAGCCACTGGCTGGCAAAGCATTTCCATAATAAAGATACCCAAATATTGCATAAGTGTCTCATTAACTTGCTGGTTTTTTAAACCATTTATTCAAACTCATGAACTAGGCTGTTTACTCACCCTTTCGTTGACACCTGTACAAGCGATTCAGTTTCTGGTAATCGATCTGAAATAAATCACAGTCAAGTCAAAAATTATAGCTCGTGTAACTTTCCATCAGATTTCAGTTTTACAATTAAAAAAAATCGATGTGAATGTGTTTTAAAAGCTGTTTTCCCTTATTTTCATGGAAGGCAAGTTTGTCATACCCTTCCCATATTACTACTGTATTCCTAATGTGAGAAATCAGGGAAGCCAACTAATTTCCCTAACCGTTAGACCCCCTAAGTGAGTAGAGGATAGGCAGTACACCATAGTACGCCTACACCAATGTTGCCACATTTTCTTATCCACTTGTAATTTATAATGAAGCCTCTATAGGCTAAAAATACATTACTTATAAGTTTTTAAGATTAGTTAGATTTGGACATAGTAATTTAGCTTAGTATCTACAATTACCTTTCACAACCTAAACAAATTGACAACCGAGACATACTGTGCCAGGTGACCAGGCAAGCTGCCCACGCCAGACACTTGGGCTCCAGTCACAAAAAAACCCATAGCGAGTAAAAAGGCAGATGACGAAGCTCTGTCTTATTGTGCCGAAATAGCAACTGTCTAGTTACAGGGCCACTTACCCTACACTAGGCCAGTGCAGTGAAGCAGTCTGATATTCGTTAACACATTACAGTGCAAATTAGATAACAGTTTACGGCAATAATCGGCTTCCTCGCTGCTACCAGATGGTTGCAGATCGTGACTCATTCGCAAGAGCAGGCGAAATATACACAAACACTGATCTCTGGCTGAAGGAGACTCGAACCTACGAACCTTGGAACAAGGTACACAGTGCTTTACCAGTCTACCCACACTGGACAATACCTTGGAGTCCAGCTTGCACTAGACTTTGATCCAAGTCTCCTTCAGCCAGAGATCAGTGTTTGTGTACATTTCGCCTGCTCTTGCGAATTACTTGCATTGTTAATATCCCTAGTAAGGCTGATGCATGCAGGAGATGAGATGAAAAGCTGTAAGCCTTCTCCCTGAAAGCTGGCTGCCTTGGATCAAAGTCTAGCGCAAGCTGGACTCCAAGGTATTGTCCAGTGTGGGTAGATTGGTAAAGCACTGCATACCTTGTTCCAAGGATCATAGGTTCGAGTCTCCTTCAGCCAGAGATCAGTGTTTGTGTATATTTCGCCTGCTCTTGCGAATTCCTTGCATTGTTAATATCTCTAGTAAGGCTGATGCATGCAGGGGATGAGATGAAAAGCTGTAAGCCTTCTCCCTGAAAGCTGGCTGCCTTGGATCAAAGTCTAGCACAAGCTGGACTCCTAGGTATTGGTCCAGTGTGGGTAGATTGGTAAAGCACTGCGTACCTTGTTGCAAGGTTCGTAGGTTCGAGTCTCCTTCAGCCAGAGATCAGTGTTTGTGTATATTTTGCCTGCTCTTGCGAATTCCTTGCATATATAGATCTTGGCTTAAATAGCAATGCTCATCTCTCCATATAGGACAAGTGAAAATTTGTGTATGCAATAATTTTGCCAAAATCATTCTGAACCTAACGAAAAAAATACATTTCACTGGGTTTGTTTAGTATTAAATTATTGTAAACAAATCTAAAATATATTTAGTTGGGTTAGTCTAAAATAAATTGCTCTTGTTATAATAAGGTTAGGTAAGTTTTCTAAGATTCTTTTGGTGCCAAATTAAAAAAATTTACATTAACATTAATGAAAAAAATATATCTTTAAACGTACAAGAGAAAATTTCAGAAAGGACTTAATTTTAAATGAGTTCTTGCTAATTGACCAGTTTTACATATTCGGCACGACATATATATATTTGTATAGGTGAGTTTTTGTGTCCTTATAATAAATTTAATATTGTCTCCACATTTAATGTGAAGGTACAAGTTGGCTCTAGAGTGGTTTCTTTTTCTATTTTAAATAATATAAATGCCCTTCAACTAGGCAGGTTATATACCCTTAAGGGCCAGGACTTTTATTTACGTTACACAGTGAAAAGCGTAACATGGGGACCTGTCTGGGAGGGAAGAATTATCAAATTTAGAATGATAATTCACATTTGAAACCTCGAGAGTCAATATTTAAAGGAAGGATTTATTAAATATTAATAGTAATAACTTTTTTCAGATGTAATTAATACAATTATTTTTTTGCTGATTTTTGTGTGTGCATATTTAGTCATTTATCGAGTTATTTAACAATAAAATTTTTCTGTGAAGAATAATAATTTAAAGAACCTATGTGCTTTGCTGTGTGATTTATTGTTCTATATAAGTAATTTCTACTGTAATATGCAAGTGTTTTGTGCTATTAATTTCTAACATGTCTGTAAGCAGTAGAGATTCTAGTGGTGACAGAGGTCTGGGAGGAGATCCTGGATCAAACCCCACTGCGAATAATGAGAGTAATGAAGCACAGATATTAAGACTAAAACTAACTCTAATTATGGAAGAAAAAGATCTGAGGAGGATTGAATGTACTGAAATATGGGAAGAGAAAATGTTAGAAATTTTTAGGGCTAAAAAGAGAGAGAGAGATAGAGAGTTTGCTGCTTCACAAAATGGAACAGGTAACAGGGTAGACATATTTAATTTCGAACAAACTAAAAAGTTTGTCCAAAATTTTTTTGGAAAAAGACTCTGATAACTTTTTCACACTGAAAAAATAGCAAAAGCCCAACAGTGGCCAGACAGTAACTGAGCCACATTAGCAAGAACCCAGTTAATTGGTAAAGGGTTACAAGCTGTTAGTTCTCTAGATGAACATGAATTTTCAGATTATGAGAAGATGAAGGATGTTGTGTTGTTGACTTATCAGATATTGCCAGAGAGGTATAGGCAGAAGTTTAGAGGTTTAAAGTTTCAGGAAGGACAATCCTTGGTGGAGTATGGAAAAAAGAGGATGTCGCTGCTGACTAAATGGTGCTGCTCCAAGGATGTTGTAGGTGATTATGAAGGTATAATAACTTTAATTTTACTAGAGGATCTTTCGAACAGTGTACCTCTTGACCTTAAGGTATATCTTGAGGAAAATTTTTTTAATGATTTTAACCATGCTCTAGAGTTGGGTGAAAGGTTTCTAGCCAACCCAAAAGTTGGAAGTAGTTATCACCCAGTTCATGTTGATAATAATTTTTCTCCACTAACTAGGAGGAGTAAGACATTTCACGTGTTTAAGCCAGATTTTTTCCAGTCTCATAATCCAAAGAGTTTTCAGCCTACTACCACCAGAATCCTGGTTTCCAGGGATTTAAGTCTACTTCTCAGCTTCCTGTTCAGGGAAGTGGTAAGTCAGTTTCACAGGGAACAGGTAGGAAAGCCCAGTTCCCCAAGGACAAGGGATCCAGTCTACCTCAAGTGGGCATGGTACATTTAAAGTTTATAATTGTATTTACTGTAATAAGAAGGGTCACTCACAGCAGTATTGCAGAGAGATGCTTAAGGACCAGGCTGCTGCACAGGACTCTCAAGTAAGTACCCCAGATACACATGCAGTAGCTTGTATTGCAATCTTACCCCAGAGTACACCAGGAAGTTCAGCTGTTTTAGACTCGGATGAAGGTCTTTTCAGATAAGTCCACAGTGGCTTTACATCAAAATGAAGGTAGGGTAGAAGGTGTTATGTCTTTAAGGGACGGACGTAGCACATTCTCCCTTTTGTGCAAGGATGTATTACCAGTGTTAGAAGATACTTACACTGACAAACATATTTTTTAAAAGGGATTTCAGGATCCACTGTTAGGACTCCAGTTCATGAGTTGTGGGTGGAGTGTGGTTTACCAGTCTGGGTACCTGCCTGTAGGTATTACAGAAGATTTACATTTTCCATGTGTTGACCTACTACTAGGCAACAATGTAATGGGTCTCATCAAAAGTGAGGAATGTTTGGTTTGGAGAGACCCTGATTTGCAAGGTTTTATGGCAAAAACTAAAGCTACTATGACTGAAAATTTTTCAGTGTGTACTATGACTAGCCAGGTGAGCAAGAGAAGAACTTCTTTGCCTCGCCTTGATCTTACTACTGACTGTGGTGACAGTTTGGGCTTGGGGAGCCTGTTCATTGAATCTGACCTGCAGGAGACTGGACAGTGATGAACCAGCCCAGGTCAAACCCGGTTTGGGATGGGGTCTCGGTGCTGGCATGGGAGTGAATACCCTGACTCTGAAGCAGCTGGTTGAGGTCCAGGGATGTGGTGATTCCCTGAAGGCTATTCAGTGGTTCCCAAATTTAACAAATGTTTATTTTACAGAATATGTGACCAAGCAGTTATGTCAGAGCCATTTGCATTTGAGGATAAGGTTCTGAATTTCTTACAGACTTCCAATGAAGGATATTTCAGTATTGAGAAGAGAGAGTTGGATAATAAATGTTTACAAATCACTTATATTTTTACCAGGTTACCAGAGTTCCTACCCCTTCTTAATAACATTGTGTGTGTGGTTTTGAGATTTTTTTATTATTTTTTTTATTATCACACTGGCCGATTCCCACCAAGGCAGGGTGGCCCGAAAAAGAAAAACTTTCACCATCATTCACTCCATCACTGTCTTGCCAGAAGGGTGCTTTACACTACAGTTTTTAAACTGCAACATTAACACCCCTCCTTCAGAGTGCAGGCACTGTACTTCCCATCTCCAGGACTCAAGTCCGGCCTGCCGGTTTCCCTGAATCCCTTCATAAATGTTACTTTGCTCACACTCCAACAGCACATCAAGTATTAAAAACCATTTGTCTCCATTCACTCCTATCAAACACGCTCACGCATGCCTGCTGGAAGTCCAAGCCCCTCGCACACAAAACCTCCTTTACCCCCTCCCTCCAACCCTTCCTAGGCCGACCCCTACCCCGCCTTCCTTCCACTACAGACTGATACACTCTTGAAGTCATTCTGTTTCGCTCCATTCTCTCTACATGTCCAAACCACCTCAACAACCCTTCCTCAGCCCTCTGGACAACAGTTTTGGTAATCCCGCACCTCCTCCTAACTTCCAAACTACGAATTCTCTGCATTATATTCACACCACACATTGCCCTCAGACAT